TTTTGTTTTTTTCTCCGGTACCGGGAATCGAACTCACGACCTTGCGCTTGCCAGGCAGGTGCTTTGCCGCTGAGCTAAATCCCCAGCTCCTAGAAACATTTTTTTAAAATTGAATTTAGGATTCTAATAGTCTTGCTTGAAGAAATGTGGCAAAGTCATTAAAAAGGAGGATTTTTGAAGTCAGACCAACCTGAGTTTGAATTCTTTAAGCTCCATTTGCTGGATGACTTTACTCAGTATACTTGGGCTTAACTTCAGTTTTCTCATCTACAAAATGGAAGTAAAGTACAACATATTGAGTGTGGTATGATTAAGTAAAATAATTAATGTAAAACACTTTAAACAGTGGTTCTTACACATTTAATTCTTCTGAGATATAAAAATTACAGGTCCCTGGATCTGATCCTGAGATTGGGATTTGGTTGGTCAGAGGAGCAGCCTGGGCTACTCAATAGTAAAGACTGTTGAGAGGTGCTTCTGGGAAGTGGGTGAGATGTACTTCTCATGTATAACATGCCCTTCCATTGTAGACAAAAGTTCTCAGGTAATGCTAACATGCAGACACGTTTGAGAATACCCACACAGTGCATAATAACACCTGTATCCAGGTGCTTATGGCCTAGGAGTTTTACAAACATCATTTAACATCTGTAACAGTCTTAAGAGGCGGCACCACATTATCCCCAATTTCCAAATAAGTGGGTCTGGAGATAATTAGCAGTATAACCAAGGCCAGATAGCTAGTGCAAGGGAAAGTCAGTATCTAAACCTGCTCTAAATTCAGAGCCTGTTTTCAGTTCTATGCTGTCTTGCCCCAAGTAAGTTGCCTGTCATGAATCTCAGAAACTCAGCTGAGATGCAATATACTGACAACCTCAGTTTGGGCACAGTGAGAAGAAGACGGGTTTAGGATAGTGCCAATGCAATGAGTCATGGAAACAACTGACCCCATCTCAGGATGGCTTCAGACAGGTGATCAGACTGAAGGATAGCAGAGACTACCGAGGACTGTTGCTGGGACGTAGGTAAGAGATTTCTCATCTTTAACATGTCATTCCATTTAGACAAAAGTTCTCAGCTGAACTTTTAATGAAGCTTTGCATAGAGGCTCACTCAGCCTTCTTTCTGCCATCAAGGGTGCACCCTGGAAGTTTACACACTTACTTTCCACTTATCTACACTATCGTTCTTCTTATTGGCCAAGAACTTGTCTAGAAGAGGTTCCAGTCACAAAGATTGAAAGACAGTCTGTGGTGAACAAAGTTCAAGGTGCAAAAACAGTGGTACAGCATTCCCACGTGTTGCCTGTGAACATGTCCTCACAGAGCCACCTTCTCAGGACAGACTAAAGTATATTTCTAAAAACTAGTACTTTCTGTCGTAATACCTAAGTTATCTGGATAACAAAGTGAAGAAGAAAACAGGTGCAGGACAAATACGGTCTGATTCCAAGACGTATCATAAACCATATTAAGTCTCTACAGTATTAGTAAAAGATAGAGAAATGGAAAGAGAGCCCAAGATAGATACATACAAGCACAAAGAAACACTTTTGACAAAAGAGCAATGGAAGTTTAATGGAGAAAAGATAATCTTTTCAACAAATGCTACTGGGATATTTGAATCTCCATATGCAAAAAACCTACTTTGAGCCATACCCCTCACCATAAAATTTACCTCAAAATCAATCATAAGTTTAATGTAAAAACCTAAAACTCTGGAACTTGTAGAAAAATACAGAAGAAAATCTTTGAAATTTGGTGTTGGATTAGACAAATATTTCTTAAGTGAAGTATCAAAAATGCAATCCTTAAAAAAAAAAAAAAAGGAACAGAAAATACTGTTAAAAGAACAAAAAGACATCCAGAGGAAGCGAAAATATTTGCAAATCCAATATGTGATATAGAATTTGTATTCTGAATAATATTAAGAAAACAACTCAATTTTTAAAAAAAAGAGCCAAGAGTTTGAACAGGTAATTCATAAAGAGATTTATGGACAGTGGATGAACATTATAAAAGACAGCTAATACTATTCATTGTTATGTAAATGCAAATTAAAACCACAATGAGATACTGCTCATTTGGCTACAGTGAAAATAACACGTGGTGGAGAAAATGTGGAACTGGAAATCTTATTCATCCCTGGTGGAAATTTAGGGACCCAGCCATTCTGGGAAAAAGTTAACCATTCTTAAAAAGTTAAACACACGCACGGTGCATGATCTACCCATTCCACTCCTTTCACTCAAGAGAAACGAAAACACGTACATACAAAGACTTATGCACAAATGTTCATAGCAGTTTTATTTGCAGTAAAACTGGAAACAATCAGAATTCCCCATCGACACACCAGTGGCTTAACAAGTTGAGGCATCAAAATGTCAAGAGTAAAAATACATGCAGAGACATGGGTGCCTCTCAGAATAAGTACCCTGAATAAAAGAACACCACCAACAAAAGAGTGTGTGTTGTATAGCTCTGTTTATATAAAGTTCTAGAAATGGAAACTAATATGTAGTTACAACTAACATATAACAGATCAATGAGTTCCTGGGCTGGAGGGGTGGAGGTAGCGAGGATTGAAAAGGGACATGAAGAAATGTTTGCAAAAGAGATGACTCTCATCTAGCTCACGTGATGGTTTTATGGCATATGCAGATGTCAAAACTTATACATGTTTAAAAATATTTTTGTGGCAAGAATACTTCACAGGAGATTCCCATCTAAAAAGTTTTTAACGCACAATACATTATTGTTGAATATTAAACACTTTCCATACACTTTAAATAGGTGCTATTTGTTTTAGGTCAATTATATTTCAGTAAAACTCTTCAAAGTAAAAGTTGCAAAAAACTATTCTTTTCTTGCTTAAATAGTTCATTAGCTGAACAGAAGCAGTATTGTATGCGGTGGTGACCTTTCGTTGTATATTGTTTTTTTTGCTTTTATGCTACCTCAAAAGAAAAGTAGCAGTAACCTGTATTAAAAGTTGCATAAAATTTTACAGGGCCAATTGTTTTAAAAATCAACAATCAGCAAGTATACTCAGCGGTTGGCAGATTTGTCTTAAGTATCCTGACCCACTTCTATCACATTTTTAAAGCCATTCTGATTGTTAAAACAAGAAAATAAGAAAGAGGACCCTGGTGAAAACAGGCATTCTTATGCATAAAGATGCATCTGCCACACGTAAGCACATTTAATATCAGAATATCAATTTCTGGAGCTTTATTGGTCCCGCTGGCCTTTCTTCTGTAAAGGTCAAGGGCACACAGTTCTGGAAAGACAAAGCTGCATCTCAACAAGCTGGTCTTGGGATTTATTCACGATCTGTGCTAGCCATTATTAATTACTTTATAAAGGTTATAGGTAGGTAAATATGCCTAAAGATCATTAAAGTAGAACATTTTACAGAACACCCCACTGGATTAACATATTAAAATGGTTAGCGTTTAAAAGTATTGTAGAAGATGAAAACCTTAGAATTGTTAAATCTGAGATATTTGTGACATATCTAAATGAGAGTGTTTTTCAAATACTTATAGACAAGATTCTGTAACTTTTGTTTGTTTTGTT